GGCCAACTCATAGCTTTCCCTCCAAGCACCTCAATGAGGTGGAGCAAATCTCAGAGATGACAGCATCGTGAAGTTGGCTGGATGCGTTTTGAGACAAAAAAAAGAGATATTTAGTGAATTAAATACATTAAAATTCCAAAAAGAAACTTTAGAAGACAAAACTATCATTTTCACCTACCGGGCTGCTGAAAGATACTTACACAGTGTTTAATCTGCAAGTATTGCACAGATGGTAGTTATTTTCTTGCCACATTCTGACTAAATGACAGGGAGCAAAATGGAAAAAAAAAATCCCTCCTAACGAGGGAGGGATTGAATCATAATAAAATTAATTATTCCTCTTCAGTCATCGGATAAACTAACTTAGACACCAAAATGTATATATGACAGGTTTCATTAGAACATCAACAACATAGCAGCAAGAACAGCAATCCAGCAGCCGGAAGGAGCAGGGCCTCCCACACTCAAGGCAAAAGACTGCTCTCAATCTGCATATTCCACTGCCTTGCTCCATGTTCCACCTTCAAGGTAGAGAGAGTGTGAATGACCTATCAATGTACGCATTTGCAAAAAATGCATTAGTTACCATATCATACTATTCTTATTGATAAAACCCCAAACGTATTCCACAGCTGCTACTCAGTCACCAAAGACTCTCATACAGGCATGAGATCTTCCACTTCACCAGGTATATTGTCAGTGCACTATAGGCAACAGACCCAACCACAGCCTCCTTTTTTAGGAACCTCAACTCACTACACAAACAGGGTCGCTTCTCTTATTCAGATCAGAGCATCTCAGATCCTGTGAGAAAGAGCCCCAGAGGAGAAGAAGCTATCACTTAAATCTGCTTTTGGAGATTTCTCACGCAGACATGGCAACGGCACTCAAGGGCAACCCCTCCAGCCTTGTACAGATACCACAGTTATTTTACAATCTTCTTTTAGATGTATCCTAATCTTCAAAGCAGTTATAGTACGTTCTGGTCTAGATCACATACCAGTGTGTGTTACAGCAGTCCCCCCCCAGAAGTAAATAACAACCAAATGTCTTGACTCAGCTGTTTTCACATTTTAGAGTTCACAGAAGCAGTCCTGACATATTAATATTTCCTTTAACTGCCTTTGTAAGTAGAATCTGTCAAAATCTCTCCCAGATGGAATGACTGCAACAAACCAAATCTGTGATTTTATAAATCACAGCATGCAGCTGAGTTGACAAGGTAACCTTCCTCAAAACAAAACATTGCCCCTAGAAAAACAGATACACACTTTTTTTTTCCTTTCCTTTTTTTTTTTTTTAATGTTGGCTGATAAAGTGCCAAGTTTCTATCACTTTGATATCACTCTTTAGTTTACATTTGAATGCTAAGTTACAGATTACAGTTGAACCAATACCTAGAAGGCTAGAGTACTTCAAATCAGCTGTGGACACACAAGAGAACAAGTCTCAGTCAAAACATGTTTTGGTAACTGTCAGACAGAAAAATGAATAAGACCCTAAAAGCTTCCAATAATAAATAAAGAAAATGCCAGGCATACCTTTCTTCACTCAAACTCAAGGAAGACTGAATACCGAAGAAATCTAATGCTGATGTCAAATCACAGCAGCACGGCAAGCATTCAGAAGGATGATGGTATTCCAGGACCTACCTGGAATATAATGTGTCTACACATGTAAGCTTCTCTTTTTTATGTATGAAGAAGCAACAAGAATAGAGTCACCACAGTGACACCACAAATCTTTAACTTCACCTCTATCTGTCAGTTTTCACCTAGGATGAGAATCCTTGCAACAATAGGGAAGAAAGAGACAGAGTATGAGGTGAACTCATCTCCTTTCTTCTATTCACTTGGCAGCGTAAAGGAAAGAAGCAGCAGCTTTTCTTTCCCAGGAACACTGGACAGAAAACACAGATCTGTAAACAAGTTTTGTCCACGGTGCTGCATGACATGATTAGAAGCAGCTTAAGTATACTCCTCTGAGTCAGCATACATGCAAACTGACCTTTATCTCACCCTAAGTGCTTTGGAAAGAAAAAACAAACAAACAAACAAACAAACACAACTTTCTCATGTGATTCCTAGCCAGGCTGCTGTCTAAATGTGGTTTCAGATAAACATCACACAGTTTATGCATGCTTTTATCACTGCAGGTATGTAAGGATCCAGCAACCAGGACATTCAGGAGGAGTCCTTCTGGTAATCAGAGCAACCTGTGCTCTCTCTCTGACTTGCTTCAGTGACAAAAACCCTTTTGCTTCTTCCAGCAGACTACTCAGAATTGAGTTCAGCCCCACTGTGTTTAATAGCCATTCTTAACTAACAAAACTGAAAGCTATGAGCCTCCTTCCACAAACGAACAATGTTTTTGAATCTCCTTTCCACATTTTGAATGAGAAAGGGACAAAGAAAAACTCTGTACAATTACGAAAAAGTTTTCCTAAGAGGCAATCTAACAGAACAGATTTATTTCATCTTTTCAAATACAGCCAACTGGGTTCATATAGCTCATTCAACTCTGTGATCACTGGCCTATCAAGAGAGGGAAAGGTAACTCAAGACAAGTATTGAAGAAGTCTCCTCAACATGAACTAAGCCAAAGAATCGACATGCCTGCAATAAACCTTGGCTTTCACATTTCAGTATTATCTTGTCTTTGCGTAAAGTTCATAGTAAGAGTGCGATTAAAAAAAAACAAAAACAAAACAAACAGAATAATGTAGTACAAAACATGGGTGGTAGTAGGAAGAACAAGGTAGGTATGACTAAAACACAGTACAGTCCATTCTCCAAAGGACCTTCACACCTTTCTAATTTTTAGTTCTCCACATGTAAGCAAAAAGTCAGACAGCAAAAAAACTGAACTGGGTAGCTGGTTAAATTATTATTGATGCCTTTGATAGAATCCCTGAATAAGAAGGAAATATCACTGTAGATAATATTGACAATTCACTGCTCCTAGAAACGCAGCGAACATTAATCAACTCAGGCAGTGAGGACACACAGAGCCAGGTGTTAAAGCTTTATCTTCCCAAATCCCAGGCTGCAAAGTGCAGCTCTGGCTCCTTCACCTTCACACACAGGAACACTGAATGAAGTCACAAGATAAATTACAAGACAAACTTGCATCATAGGGTGTCTCTAGCACAAGGCGTTACACTTTAAATGAATCTGTGATGATCCGCAGCCGTGGCCACAGGGAATTACCCTGGCAATTCTGCAGGAGGGATGGTTATTTTCATAACTCTCCTTCTACAATCCTACTCAATCCTTCACACATAATGTTCTTGACATCCTTGAAGTGACAGGCATTTGCCAAGGACCTGAAACAGACTAGCACAACGTCTAGCTCTCACACACCTCTGCTAGTCCTGCCACCAAAGATCAGCTGCAGCAGCTCTAATGAGCCAGAAGAGCCTCTACATTCAGGGGGCAGCAAGAAAAAGATGTTCCTTCCTGAAGTTGATCCCCCTTGAGGTGATGGCTGCACAGAAAGGTAGCAGCAGCCGAGTTGCCGAGGAGATGATAAAATGTCAGACTTCTGGCTGTACAAAATGGCAGTTGAACCCTGGCAAAATGCCAAGCTGTTCAAACAGTGAATTGAGAAGTACACGGGGCCATCATTACGATTAGCATAAGAAGAGAGTGGTACAACAGCTACCTAGCTACTCGGAAGGGTCACGGAGAAATTATAACAAAGCAAAGTTTTAGGGAAGGACACAAAAGAAAACAATGTCATAGCTCAGTGCTTTTTACCCAGAGTTTCTCACTGCATGAAGCGTGGCTCGGGAGAAAGTACAAAGACTTGATTAGGCTCTGAATCAAGAGCGGCCAGCAATGCTAGCAGGACTCAAACTGCTTCTCTACATCGAAAAGATCATATAAAAACGTGACACCAGAGACAAAGTACTTTACAGGAAAAACAGGCTGTACTGTAAATTTGACTAACGCCTGGGTTCAGCACAGTTAGTCAAGATCTCTTCCTTTCTCGCTGAAGAAGACTGCTTTCAGAAGAGATTAAAAAAAAAGAGATGCTTTAACAAATAAATTCTGAACATTCTGATATTTGTTTTTTTTTTCATTTTTAATATCGTATAAGCAAAGTTTACAGAGCCACAGATTCACACAATTAACCAGCTGCCAGGGTGAAATTAATCTGAGTTGCAATAAAAGTAAAACACATTATCATTGATTTTCAGTCTTAATACAATAGGGATACGAAAATTGCAAGATTCATCACAGTTTGTACAACTTTTCTATGAATTCCTGTAGATGAAGCTTAACTCATAAGTTCTCTTTGCAAATAGAAGGATTAAAGTCTACACTGGAATCTGAATTCCACAGACAACACAGAGAACCTACATAGTAAAAAATCTCCATTCAGTAGGCACAATTCAGTTCCCCATGAACACAAATTTTGCTGTTCAGATATTTCTACTGTTCATGGTCACATCTGTTTTTGATTACGCTGCTTCTCTTCTTCATATAAAATTTTTCTATTACCACAGATATCAAGAACCCTAAAATTGCTCCCCTGAAGGCAAGATCAACCCTTTCCATAGAAGGCAGCCATATGTTGTACTCCAAGTGGCATTCACCAAGACAAGCAAAGTGAAAAGCTAAGACTCCCATGGAGATTTTCTGTCTTTTTAGTTATCCTACGGTATCAGACAAAACACCACGTTACTGTAACCACTGTAACACCTCACTGAAACAATTCATCCACTTCAAGTTCATCCATCCCCGACACATTTCAAAACTCAAAGTCAGAGGAGCACAAATGGATCTTCCCTATTAAGACAGTTGGTTATTAAACTTTTCACCTTCTTGTTAATAAATCTTTTCCCTCTATTCCAAGCAGCAGCTGTGTATCTAATAATGCAAGACACTTAAGAAGAGAAGTGAGTAAGTGTAAACTAATGTAAACTAATCAAGTGTCAGACTGAAATGTTCAAACCACTACTCCTGACTCATTTAAACAAAACAGAAGTCACTTACAGAACTGGATGAACAATCAGCTCGGGACTATATGATTTGATTACTGTTGCTGCATCTTTGGTACAAAACACATGGGATAAATCTGCACCCTAAAAAGAAAAATTGCAAAAATAATTATCAATTATACAGCAACAACTTCAGAATTCCAAAGCTTAGTCAGCAAATAATTCGCTCTTTTTCTATTTCTCAGTAAAGGGAACTTTTCTCATTTTTTCTATTTTGACTTAGCATAACATGCAACATTTTAGAGAAAACTTATATTTGCATCTAAACTCCAAAATATTTTCTTCTGTTTCTCACCAGTAGGATGACTGATTATGAATCTTTGCTCACCAGAACAATGGTTCTCATTTGCAGATAAGTAAAGATTAAAACATCACACACACAACCAGAAAAAAAGTCAAGAGAACAGAGTTGAACAAGAGACAAGCTACACTAAGAAAGGAAAATAATAAGGTACTATACTTGCAAAACACAGCTATGACAATCTCTGAGTACTATTCCAGTCCTACCATTTTCACTCAATGGGCCAAATCCATACCAGATAAAGTCTGGCACAATTTCAACAACTTCTCTTCAGCTAAACGAAGCCAAGGGGCTTAGTCTCAAGCTTCCATTAACAACTCAAAAAAAATCACAAATACACTTTAAAAATTTGTAATATGTAGGAAACCTGATCTGCTATCTGTCTTCCATGTTGAAATTTCCCAAGGTTAATAAAGCGTCTCCTCTGCTTTACTTCTTGTACATTTAACATTAAAAGCTACTAAGCAATTCATAAGTATGATCCTATGATTCCTTATGTGAAGCTGCAATGAGCTGAGACCAAGTTACTCAAAGAGAGGACTCCCGTAATGTACTTCTGCATCTGCACATAGAATAAAGGCTGAGTAGATTCTAATATTTTATAGAAGATTAATAAATGATATAATTTCAGTTAAAATTTTTGAGAGACTGCAAGCCTGGGGGAGGGGGGGTGTAGATTGTGGTAGGAAGAAATACTAAGTAAGTACTTAATTGGTACTTATTCAAACAAACCTACAAAAGGAGCACAGTGAATGGAAAGTACTGATCACAGAGCTCTGAAAAATATACATATTATGTAAGCGTGTTTTGGGTACATTTGAATAATCACCACAGTATTCATGTAGTGTGCAGCAAGTTTATCTTTAGTCGTTTAATTTGTCACTAAAATAAGGAAGTTGACACTTCTAGGAAAAAAGCCTGGAAAATACTTCTGCTAAAGATCATTAATTTACAATGTAAATTAAGTTGATATGTTGAATTCAACCAACAATGTTTAGACTTTCAGCACCAAAGAATTTTACAAGTCTAAAGCTGCACATTGCCCCATCCCTGGAGGCATTCAAGGCCAGGCTGGATGTGGCTCTGGGCAGCCTGGTCTGGTGGTTGGTGACCCTGCACATAGCAGGGGAGTTGAAACTAGATGATCTCTGAGGTTCTTTTCAACCCAGGCCATTCTATGATTCTATGATTTCAAAAGAAGGCTACTTCATTCAATGCTTACCAAGAATTCTGACTGCAACACTGAAAATGCAGCTGTAAACACTAACCTAAAGTTATTTGAGAAACTACTTCAGCAAGTTTTCAGATTTGCTACCCAAGCTTCTGATAAAACAGTTTTCTCTCTAAAACCTTCCATTTTCTGGTGTATCTCTACCTATACGTTACACAGAGAAAATATTTACAGGAAACAGCAAATGACACATCCATACCAAGTACTTCTACAAATCCAAAACAGAGGATTTTCTTTGTTAAATAGAAGACCTTTTAGAACTCCAATTTCAAGCACAGCACAGACCGAATGCTTTTACAAAATGGCACTTAGCCAACATAAATGATGAGAAGTTCATTTTGTATTGATATAGAAGAAGAACACATACCACTTTGAGAGCTGTAATTGCAGCAAAATATGGTGCTCCTGTGTATCTAGAATGAAATGAAAAACAATTTAGATTAGGAAACACATTCATGATGTTAGACAAACTGGAAATCAGTCTGCCTTAAAGAAGACTCAAATGTGAGGGCAAATTAAAAAGCTTTCTCTTATGTTTGCTTTCAAAGACAGATAAAAATCCTGCTATGCCGAAGCCAATCTCAAACTTTGCTTTAATTTCAAAGAAGCTACTTCAGTCACCTGATCTCTTCACAGAAATATTGATAAAGACCATGATGCAAAAAAGCAAATTCTTTTCAGACAGTCCACTTAAAAAGTTTGAAAACAGACAAATAAAAGAGAACAATAATCAAGCATTGTTTGCAAGCCAAGCCTGAGATCCATGACCTAGATCACTCCCATCTGGTTTCAGATGCTTAACCAAATTGCCTAAACCTGATTCCAGTTGACCTGAATTCTCTTCATGAAGACTGAAGAGCAAGGTACAGGCAGACTCACTCTAAGAGGTGTCTGCTTTGGCCAAGAGGTAAGAACCCAAGCCTAGCAAACCAAAAGGAAAATTAATTCCAGTCTAGCCAATGCAGCACCTTCTGCTCTTTATATAATGGCAGATCTTCAAGGGCAGATCTCTTTCACAGAAGAAAGATGCCACCTCTATTTTGAAAGGGGAAAATTAACAACAGGAGGGCATAGTAGCTTGTTCAAAGTATTGTACACATTACTGAAAGTGGCCAAGAAGCAGAACAGAGGTTTTATTTCTAGATCAATATAACCGATTTATATTTTTTTTCTGAAGCATGCTATTTCTATTGCTCGAGAACATAAATCAGGATATTAATAAAATCTAGTAAACAACATAATTCATCAAAATAATAAGCACATAGTAAGATGATCTCAGCAACCTTCTATTCCTGACTTGAGAGATCTAGTTCCCAAGATACCAAAATACAACGAAGACCAACTGTCTTATTCTAGTCCATTTACTTCTATAACCTCATCATGCAACGGGCAAAGACATTAATATTGAATGCCGTGTTACCATAGTTAAAAATGACTGAGAAGGTAGAAACAGGCATAAACTGCACGCTAAGTTTCAGCCACGTTCACGACTGAAAGTTTGTGTCATAACCTCTGGACAACATGACCATTCACAAGAAAGATCATGATGATGGACTAGTAAAGTATACTCGTGTTTTAAATGTAAGGCAAGCTTAAATGGCTTCCACAAGTTGTAATGACATCTTCAAGCTCTTGGAAACAACACTCCAATTTCTGATTAACTTACTCTCTACATCCTCCAACAATGCCTATACGTCCATCTTGACCTTTATGCCTCTTCCCAGTTAGAGGAGGAATAACGTTGCGCACCAGTTGAAAAATATTCTCCATATCCTTTAGAGTGTGATTTCGATGCAGTGAAAAAGATCTCTCTATAACTGAAAAAAGAAGTATTACTTTAAAATATGCTCTTTCTTAAGCATCAGCATTTAAGTACTCAAACAGTAACAAAATCACTCAAAGATTCACAAACTGACATCCTTGTAAAAACTCAAAGATTCACCACCTAAAGGCCTTTAAAACACCGAGAAACTAGGGAAGGTGATCATTTTTTTACATGCATTTCAAGTCTGATGCAGTGAGTATTCCCACCACTCACAGTCTTAGGGCTCAAGAACAGAAAGAAACAACCCCCCCAGTAAGTTGCAGAACGTTCACAAGGCTACCTTCTTAGTTCAGACTCAGATCATTTCCACAATTCAGCTCAACTGAAACAGGTACACTTGGTGAGCACTTAACACACCTGGACATGAGACGAGTACTCAACAACCAAACCCACATCCCATATAGATACCCTAGTTTATTTCCATTTCCCCTCACAGACTTCCACCTCTTTGCAGATTTGGGGCCTATCTCACTGCTTTATTTTGGCAGGTGGATACGGAGCATAACAGAAGCCATTCTGCAAAACTCTAATTCAATTGCGCTAGCTGCAAGCGTTACAAAACCCACAATTTTTAGCTAGAATGCAGCTATTGATCTCTGATGCAAAGTTACATGTGAAACTACATACTAAACCAACCACACACTCAGAAGGCTGTGAATTCAAATTGCTGTTTCAGTAGACTGCGAAAATATAGAAAAAAACATATTTCAACAATTCTACTACATAACTAAAGAGTATTAAACAGTCAACCCAAGGCACGGCAAATTCGAAGATCAGTACTTAAATGGACAAAATATTAGCCATAAACCGAAAAATAAAATTCTTGTATTTTGACACAACTCCCCATATCTGCACGAAGTCTGCTCAGAATTGCAGTTCATATGACTGGAAAGCTACTCCTACACTTTAGTCAGGTTTTGTTTCTCACAGAACTTCTAAGAAGCTTTCAAGGAACTGCTAAATATTAACAGAGAATTAAGTAATAATAACTTGCACTATAGTCCACTGCTTCCAGCTGTGTAACATTTTGTAAGCCCAGCCCCAAAAACTGGAGAAGAAAAAAACTGTACCAGAAAATGAAAGAACAATGTACTAAGCAAGAAAAACTGCATCTGTGCACTATCAGCAGAAAGCATCTTTTCCTCCATCCTCTGGAGAATCTAAACCTAAACCAGACAAGCTAATCTTCAGTAATAGAATGCTTTAGTGTTCCACAACGATAAATACTCCTGGCTGATCTTTTGCTTCTAAAATCCTTCTATAATACAGGCATTCCTCTCCTATTGAGATAAAAAAAAATAAAAATTAAATCCACCCTGTTTTGGACCACGGCCAAAATAGCATTGCAGCAACCCAGAGTAAAACAAAACACTCATCTCCTCTGGAAATAGGGCAGATTATTTTCTTTGAATCACGCTTCATACATTAACTGGCTTTCAACCACACGAGAAACATACCTATCTTCCACCTCAGGAGGACTTCACACAGTCCTCTGTTCGTTTGCTGCTGGTTCTTGTAAACACGAGCAATGTAACAAACAGAAAGAAAACAAAATTGCCAGAAAGGAATTTTCAATAGAGTCCCACTTACACACTGGGGCACGCTTAGCTATAAACAACTGAAACCCTAATTCCTTAAAGGATGTACTGCCTGAAGTGCTTCATTTTTAGCACTCCGCTGCAAACACTTTGTTACACTCTCAACGTTCAAAAAGATTCAAAGTTTCTCTTAATAGAGTGGGATATATGCAATGCATATATGCAATGCACAGTGCAGTATAACTGTACACTCACATAAGGAAATCCAGTAAAAGACACTAAATTGTAGTTTCAAGCCTTTACAGATAATAAAACTCCTCCAACTTCTGGCAAAAAGCATTTCTTAAAAACAGTGGTAAACCCCTGCAGGTACACACCAGTGTAGAACGTCCAATGATTTCCTCAGAGATTTTCTAAAGCACTTCAGGTTTCCTTCCACAGGAAACATTTACACACAGAATCCATACACTTGCTGTAATTTATCTAGAAAAGCCTTCAGACATTGAGAAATTCTGCAAACCAACTATCCAATCAGAAAACACCTACCCTAAGCCCCTTGCAGGCCTGAACATTCAGTTCCCAACCCACCTACAAGGACACACAGCATATTTAACACAGAATGGTACAGGTTCCAAGATCCTCTCAGGAATCTGTGCACCTTTTAGGATCCAAAGTGTGGGGTTATTATTCAATGCTGTGAGTTTGGGTGCTGTACCTTTTTCTTTTTGAACCACAATGTCTCTGTCGAGCAGTGTGAAGTTCAGAATTAAACCCAAAAAGACTTGTTTTCACACAGCAGGCTACAACCACCGAGTCCAAGGCTCACTCTGGTTTCAGCATCAGCCAAATATCAGCCTTCCTCCTGCCCACACAGCATACCTCCACATAAGGAGACTACATAAATGACACGGAGCCACGGCTCTAGGAAGTCTGGTAATAAATGCTAGGATCTGATTGTCAACTTCTGGCCCACGCGTGTTACAGAAGAAAAGGTCTGTGCAATTAATTCAAGAGCGTTTGCTTTGTCTTTCTCTATAAAATCAATTTCAGACCCCCAAAGAATTTATAAGTGAACTGATAGAGAATAAAAGGCAACGCCAACGTTTCCATATCATGCCACATCTGCTGCAGTAACGTGATATTTACTGAGGAGACCGGTAATTTTTATTTAATGAAATTAGTTTTCAAGAAGCTGGACTTTAACATTTGACTTTTTTGGAGTGCAGGCAAAATGCCACTCCATTCCCAACGTGGACAAAACGTACGCACATCCTTAACTTCACACACTGAGTCAGGCCTGTTAGCTTCAGCAACAGCAGAACTTCTGCTACAACACACTTCCCCTTCCCACCTGCCTTCTATACATAAAACTTCCTTAACTTCATTTCACGAAGATGTGAACGTAGAAAGAAGAGCCCAACATTTACGGAGTTTGAAAAGTGTTAATTCAGTCAAGGAAATCTGTTGTAATAACTAACATATCTATATTAAATAATCAGTACAATGATACAAACGACGTTTTAATTCCATTTGACATCAGACAGACACCTTCACCACAATATTAAATAATTCCAACTACCTTTTATTTGCAAAAGCTACTTACTAACAGGGCTTTCACACAGAACTTTAAAAAAGACTCGCTTTTATTTATGCTATAGAAGGAAGTACCTATCGGCGGAGAAAGTGCTGCTGTCATAGCATTATAATTAAAGTTATCCCCATAAGAACGATGGTTTGCTCTCTGAGGTGGACTCGTTGGTATAGACTGTGCCCTTTGTGATACCGTCGAAGAAATTCCTGACAACATCTGTCCCAACATCTGCAGCATCTGGAGCTCTCGAGCGTGCTCAGCTTCACGACGTTTGTCCTCAATTTTGAGCCTCTGCTCTTCGTATCTATAAAATTTTTCTTCTGTATCCACGCTCTGCTGCAGGAATTTCTCCATCATTTTATCCAACGTTAAATTTGCATGGCGCTTTTTTGATCTTTTGGGCTGACTGAGAGGCGGGGTAACCGTCGGAGCGCTCATTTCTTTAAAGCCTAAAACAAGAGGAGAGAGAATTATTTTTCTGAAGGACTAAGAAGAAAGAAGCAAAAAAACCTCCTTATGAAACGTGGACCTAATTTGCCACAATGTTATTACTCTTTCAATGCAAACTGCCATTATTTCAGACGTTTTTATTTCAGAGTACCTGAGCAAAAATACCCACGGCCTTCTATAAAGTTACAAAGGCAGCACAAAAATCATGCAGACATCTTTTAATTGTTGTAGTACTGAACTTCAACAATAGCAGCCTTTTTGATCTTCTAAAAAGGTTTAAGTGAAGTCTATTAAATAGTATAGGCTCATTTGTGTATTGCAGGTAATTACATTAATCTAAATTGAGTTTCAGTCTGTTGGCATTCTGGATTTGCATTTCAAAAGCACACGAGTGTAAACAACTCTTTGATGGGGTTTATGTGTAAAAAGAAGGTTGGTTAAACGTCAACCAATTGGCTGATGCCTCAGTGATGTCAACCACCGAAGACAGGTTCATGTTTGTATTAAAGCCCAGCGTTAATCTAGATTTAAAACAAACAAACAGCGCTCCCCCCCCCCCCCCCCCAACTCCCCCTCCTTGAACAAGGATCTGCGGGAAAGGACAAGGAGGAAGAGGCAGGCACTGCTTAAAGGCTGATGGCTGCGCGCCTGCTGAAGTTGGAGCAGCGCTGATGGAAGAACTCAAGCAATTCGTTACATAAAAGCTCCCCCCTTGCCTTCTGCCCCATCTGCAACAATAAGCAGATTTTTCAGTGGGATCTCCATCATCACCGTAACCCAAAGGGAACGGGGAAAACCCTTGGGCGAGAAGGACAGCCGCGTCCACGCACAGCGCTACCAGCAGCGTCCTCAGCTCTGCGCCAGCGTTCCCTCGGTTCCCCGCCGCTGAACACCAATAGAACCTCCCGGCACTGCCTCCTTCCCCTCCCCTCCCCTCCTCTCCCGCGGGGCCGAGGCTGCCGAGGACGTGCAAGGTGCAGGGCCGGGGCCGCACCGATAGGGCTGAGGGGGGGGCCGCTTGCTACTCACCGTCTCCGGGAGGCACCGGGATGGCGAAGGGGGGGCACTCCACCTTGATGGGGCGCTCGGCGTACGAGGAGCACTCCCCGGAGTCCTCGGCGAAGTTGTCGCGGGGGGACTCGAGCCCGGCGTCCTCGTCCGCCTCGGGGTCGTTCTCGCGGCCGTTGTGCAGCGCGCCCGGACTGGGCGGCCCTCCGAGGGGCTGCGGACCGTCGGGCAGAGGGGGCGGCGGCTCGGGTGCTCCGTCAGGCCCCCCCCCGGCAGCTGAGGATTCGGTCCATCTCGTCGTAGTACTTGCAAATCTTGCGGGCGTGCCCGTTCTTCTTCAGCCCGTCCCGGGCCTGGTAGTACTGCCGTTTGAGGCCCTTGATGCGGATGCGGCACTGCTCCGGGGTGCGCTCGAAGCCCAGCTCGGCCAGGCGGCACGCCACGTCCCGGTACACATGGCTGTTCCGAAAGTTGCCGTCCAGCGCCGACTGCACGTCCGCCTCGCCCCAGATCTCCAGCAGCGCCCGCGTCTCCAGGTCCGACCACAAGAAGCCCCGCGTGTTCGTGATCATCCTCGGCCGGCCGGGGTCACTGCAATGGCCGCGCACCGGGAAAGGAGGAGGAGGAGGAGGGAGGGACGGAGAGAGGAGGTGCCGGGGGGGCGGCGGGAGGGAGCGGGGGGGGAGGTTAATACCCGCGCTGCGCGCTCCCAGGGGGCGCCTACGGCAGCCCCGGCCGCGGTGCGGCGGGAGGCGGCGGGGAGCCGAGCCCCGGGCCCCGCATCCCAGCGCGGGCCGCCCGCCCGCCAAACTTTCCAGCGGGCACCTGCAGAAATGGAACGGAAAAAAAAAAAAAAAAAAAAAAAAAAAGAAAAGCCACCAACCAACCGAGCCCGACACGCACAAAGCCTCCCCCTGCCTCGGCGAGAAGACGAAGATGCGGGCACGACAGCCGCCCCCCGGGCAGGACGAGCCGCCCCGCTCGGCGCTCAGCTCCGCGCGGCCGCTTCCCTGCCGCGGGCAGCCCTGGGGGCGGCAGGACGGCGGCGCGGGCGGCACGCGGAGGCCCGGCTCATGGCAGCGCCCTCCTCCTTCCCTCCTTCCTCCCCCTCCTCCTCCCCTCCCTCCCGCCGCAGTGGAGCGCGATCCCTACACACACACACACACACACGGCGCTGCAGCTCGGCGGCCGGAGAGGCCCTGCGGAACGAGGCAGCCCCTCGCTGGGGCTCGGCGCCCCTCGGGGCAGGTGCGAGCGGGGGGACACGCGGGGTCTGCTGCGCCGCGCCCTTTCCGCCCGTTTCCCTGGCGCGCACCGGCGGAAGGCTCCGCTCCCCCCCGGGCTCTCCCAGGCCCCGGCCCCCGCCTCGCGGGCGGGTCCCACCCCCTCCTCGCTAGAGCTCCGCCGCGGAGATGTCTGTACCTTCGTCACACCGCAGCCAGAGAGCTGCGGCCAAAGCCAGCGCGGCCGCCGCGCCGACAGCGGCCCGTCCGCACATCCCGCCGCGGGAGGCCCCTCCGCTTACCTGGCCGCGACGCGAGGCTCACGACACCCCCAGCCGAGCGCGCGGCCCAACGCCGCACCCAGCTCATCGGCGCGGCTTCCGGCTCCGCGCCGCGGCGGGGCCGGGCCGGACCGGGCAGGGCAGCGCGGGGCCGGCCTACGCGGGCGCGGCAGCCCGACTCCGCTCCGCGCCTCCCCGCGGCGCCCCGCGGCCATGCTCCCCCTCCCCCCCGGCGGCAGCCAATGGCGGCCGCGCTGAGAGACGGGGCTCCCCGCGCCGCCGGCGGCCTGCACCTCCGCCGCCCTGACGCGGGAGAAGTGCCCGGCGATGCGCCCGGCCCGGCGGCCCTCGGGTTGCCTTTGCGGCCCTTGTAATTGAGTTTAAAAGGTTTAGAAATTACCATTCGTATTTATTGCTCCCAGCCTTTAAAAGCGCTTCTCATCCCTCATCTCACCCGGCTTTTTGGAGCAAACCTCTGATTTAGGAGCGTGATTAATCTCTGAGGCACTATTTATATCTCAAATACATCACTTTAAAGCAGTGTTCTTGTACCATTTTTCTTTAAAACACACCAGAGGCAGTGGGAATGCCAGCTAGCGTTCATCAGTGGTCCTGCAACACCTGCTTTATCTACGCAGTAAATCAAAACACAAGAAAAACTGATGGGATTGTATGCATGAGACACCTGAAAGCTCAAAACAATTTTAATCTCTGCCTGATGGCTCTGGGTAATTTGAGCAAGGCTTGTTAATAACTCAGAAAAGCTTCTAGCATAGTTAGAAACGTGGAATCATTGAAACATTAGGGTTGGAAAAGACCTCTCAGATGATCAAATTCAATCACTACCCCATCCCTGCCATGCCCACTAACCATGTCTCTTTGCCACGTCCGCATAGTTCTTCAATACCTCCGGGGATGGTGACTAGACTACCCACCCACCTCCTTGGGCAGCCTGTGCCATTGCATCACCACTCCTGAGAAGAAATTCTTGATATCCAACATGAACCAATCGTGGTTCAACTTAGGGCCCGTTCTTCTCATCCTATCACTGTTACCTGAGAGGAAAGGCTGACCCCTATCTCACTACAACCTCCTTTCAGGCTGCTGCTTTTTTTTTAATAAGCTGAAAACAGACAACATTTCATAGAATTGTATCATATCACAGAATGGCTTGGGCTGGAAGGGACCTCGGAGCCCACCAGAGCAGGCTACCCAAACAACATTGTCCTTTGCATTATTATTTACATATACATGATGTGGTCAAACAGATCTGTCAGGTTTACTTGGACCAAACTTGAGCAGTAGTGATTTGTACCCTTCAGTTTTGGAGGCATCATTCACAAAAGCCATGCTGTCTGCAAACTGCAAGACAGACAACCTGAGCTTTCGTTGCCCATACTGAACAGTAACTCGGGGACCAGGGCAGCAGCATGGCTGCCTGACAAGCACACTGTCAAGTATTAATTTGTCTGCTGAAAAGTTTCTCTTCATTAGGTCCTGCTTATCTGATATGGTTTTGAAAGCAACACCAGGTCAGTGAAATTTGCCTTGTATGCAGTCAACACAAGTAATGTTTTTTACCCTTTGGTTATCTGGCTGTATGGCAACCCAGAAGATGTATTTTTAGCTTCTACAAAAATTCTAGCCTAGAAAAGAATTACCAGATTGTAGAACACCACCTTACTTACACTCATGTTTGGATTCCAACTGGAAGGAGGAAGTCCATATCAATTTCCAGTAACTCTAGCACTGATTCAAAGGCTGGTAGAAACCGAAATGAACAGTGCAGATGGGTTTTGATCCCACCAAGTATCAGAATTTCCATCAAAAATGTATTTTGTGCCCCACAAAAGAGAGAGAAAATGTAATGGTGTACTTTTTACTGAGCTTCCTGTTCTGACAGATCTGTCCCTTTGTCTCCTCTCACATGGAGGGAGGGAATGACTGTGCAGTTTCCTTTCATACGTGGACAAAATCATTGCTCTGCTGCCTGTTCCATTGCTGGTCCCTACCTGTTGTTGAGTATTGTGCCTTCTTCTCTAGCTCTCGATGTTAGCTTTCAGTTCTAGCATTTAACCCCTTTTCTAGCACACTGTCAACACAGGAGATCCTCCTCATTAATGGAATAATTACTGCAAAGAAAGCCTGCCCATCAATGGCTTACCTGAGAGTTTCGTGCTGCTGTCAAGGTAGGCAGACAATTGGAGGCTTGACTTAGTAGTGGATGGCTGCAGTTACTGACAGCACATGCTTGCTGGGAACAGGATGTTCATACATAGAGGAGGTGAGGAGTGGGCTGTAATCTAGATGTAGAAACCCCAAAAGAGTGACTGCTCTGGACCACTGTTCTTTCTCTTCTATGGTTTCCTGCTGAATCTTCACTCATTCATTACTTTCTACTTCTGATCACTTTGTACACACTGAGTGCTTACGTTTTGGTCTTTGCCATTCACTTGGATTGTGCAATCCTGCCTGTCCCAGCCATTCCAAGGGGAACGTGAACAGCAGGTGGCAACAGCAGAGCTTGCTACATCCTTTTATTGCATTCTCCCTTCAAATAATTGTCAACCCTCACTGGAATCACCATTTTAGATCAAAAAACATATCCGCATTAGAAACTGCTACAGAAGGTTTAAACTTTCCTGTGGGGTGAGGGAATGGAAGAGCTCAGAAGTAGCTTGAAGCTGCCCGTAAAATATAACCTGAGACATTTTTGTTGTTGTTGGAAAGGGAATGTGGGAACACTTTTCAGCATAAAAAGATGAAAAAGTCAGAAATCCTACTTTCATTTGAACGCTTACCTAGTTAGTTACATAGTAGGAGTTGGAATTGCTAGTAGTAGTAGAGAAGACAGTAATAGGATAGGTGTTAAAATTAAAAAATAAAGGGCCAATCCTGCAGACGTTATGATCAGTACAGCTTATTGCCATTAAAGTGGGTGGGATTAGCATGTTTTATACCAAATACTGCATTTGTCTTACTACAGGACAAAACAGGTTTTTATACCGTGCGAATTATTTAGTCTGTTATTTTTTATGTCTGTCTGAGCTGTGAAGAAACTACACATTTTTGATTAGTAAGACAGCCTCAAGCTATAATAGTTCTTCTTGTCATGACACTTCTGTGCATTATTATATTCAGTAGAAATGACAGCAGCAGTGAATTAATGACAAGCAGGTACAAAAAAACCCGAAACATCAATATGCTTTGGCTTCCCTATAACATTTACTGAATAGGAAAGTCAAATGAAGAAGGGAAAGGAAATGGTAAAAGGTACACCCACACCCAATTAAATCACATATATCACTCCTTTAATGTTCAATAGCTATGTGTGATGTTTCATTTCAGTTGTGTTAGAGCTGAGCATAGAAGCCTTGCCTCCTCTTGTCAATTGTAGATACATGATAGTCAGCCCCTTGCATAAAACACAGCTTTCTGTGCATGTAAGAAAGATACAGATGCTCAAAATGATGGGCAGATTTGTAAAGTATACATTGGTTTTACCATAACTGACACATTTCATGTCAGTCCAGGAAAAACACAGTATGTATTGGACATGACAGCTAGAAGAAGACTACATGCTCTATCCACAAATGGATTTGAACAGTGAAAAAATGCCTTGCTCAAATACTTTGCTTTCTTTCTTTTTGTGTAATGTATTGTTAGTCATCACGCAGATCCATCATATCAGCTATTTCAGTTGTGTCCCCAGGTGTTTCTAGAGACTTTGTAGTAGCTTTCCCCATAACCATCTAAACCTAGCATTTGTTTTCAGTCTCAGACTGCTGCATGCCATGGGTGATGCCTTTGCCTCCAGCTGCTTCTAGAGTTCTGCATAATTTTGTTGCTCAAAGGGGAAAGTTGCAGTTCTCTTTTCTCCCTCTGAGAGCTGCTTATGTTACTTTTTTTTTTCCTTTTTTTTTTTTTTTTCCTGAGATCTCATACATGGAAAATACACTCTAGTCCTTAATGTGCTTGCTGTTCAGTATACAGGTGTAATTTAGCATACATACCTGAGTTTCATTTCAGTATCCTCTACCTAAAAGTCAGCGTATAAGCATATATATTATTGCTTCCTGTTGTTACTTCTGCTGTGTAAATGCATGAGTAGCAACAATTCATGTTCTCAACGTCGAAGCCAGCCCTACAAAT